CCTTTACGTTTTAAGCAGTACACTGGCACACTGAAATGGAGCCGACCCACATATATTCAAGCTACAACAGGTGAGCAATACTGATAGGATAATTGCTTGGGTGGTGGTGCACACAAACCTCCGACCGGACATCGTGTTGTGGTCAACCAAAGACCAGAAGATAATTCTGCTCGAGCTAACAGTGCCATGGGAGGAAGGCTGCGAAGTGGCCCACCAGAGGAAGGCTTTGAAATACCAGTCCTTAGTCCGGGATTGTAAGGACAAGGGTTGGCAGGCATGGGTCTTCCTGGTGGAGATCGGATGCAGAGGTTTCCCAGCCAAGTCAGCATGGCGATGATTGTCAGCTCTGGGCTGACGAGAGGAGCAAAAAACAAGCTGCTTGCAGGATGGGGGAGGAGGCTGAACAAGCCTGCTGTTGGATTTGGAGTAAGAGAGAGGAGGAGAGCAGGAGGCCAGGAGCAGATAGGCAGTGATTAGGCCAATCACTGCCAGCCCTCCAACTAAAGTGTGTTGTGGTTGAGGGCAGAAACACACAGTGACAGCTGGGTACCACCTGATGATATCTGCTCCCGGCCAAAAGCTATGGTTACCTTAGGTATCTGACATCTCCTGTGCTCAGGGCTCACTCTTTGCACTATCCAGAACTTTAATGATACTAAACAGCCATGCCTGTGCATGTGCATAGTGCCGAGCAATCCTTTATCAAAGAAGATACTGTTTGCTGCAGTTGCTCATCTTTGACGCTTGTGATTCATGTCCATTCAAGACAGAGCTCCAACTCCCAGTCACCTCACATTGTCTATGCACAATAGCTCTCCCAACTTCACATCTCTTTATAATACAATCTAATGTTCAATGTATCAGACAAACAGCTGACCCCTCTGGCTCGACAGCCCACTCACACTGTGCACAAACTGCATCACCAACATTTCCTCAGTGAGCTGCTCAACTTCTACTTTGACTTGAGTAGCAGTGAACTCCAGCAGCACTGTTTACCTCAAAAAATATTTCCCACTCTTCACTCCTCCGCTCGCAACTGCACAAAGCCGAGAAAAGTGACTCACTCTTTTACATAAAAACCCATGAGGCTGTCATTATGGGGCAATTATTTTGGAGAAAAGTTGCTGTAGGAAAGGCATTGATTCTTTCAGCAGCGCCTCCCACCTCCTGCTGTCACGCAGCTGGGTGGCTGTCCTTTCTTCAGCAGCTCTTTGATTGCAGCTCTCCACTGTATTGGGACAAGGGGCTATAATATTGAGGAAATTATCCTGAATAAGGTGAAATTGAGACGCAAACAGTGGAGAAACTCCAGTCACTCTGCTGCGTGTGATAATGTCCAGAGGTGAGAGATGTTGACTGGTGGCCTGCTGCATACATTCAGAGACAGCTACGTGCAAATGTTTGTATTATATGGGAACCAAATGCATACATGAACATACAAGTGACGTGTTATCAATAAATAATACATGTTCAACGTACAAAAATAGGAGGCGGGGGCCTTCAGCTTATTATGGGCCCCCAGGTATTTTATTAAAGTAAAAGTAGCAAGACAAGAGTAGAAATCCTCTTTTACAAGTATAAAATGTGCATTTAAATTTCACTTAACCTCCTGTGACCCTGTGTCCACATGTAAGGGCAATAGATTTTAGGCTTGCTGCACCTTACACTTTATTCTGCTGAACTCAGACCTGTTGTCCTCGTTTGTGGACACTTTCTGTGGCATCTAGTGGTAGTAAGAGCACAATACACCAATCCATGTAAAAACAAGATGGCAGCCATGCCTGCCAAGTCAGTCGGCAGCCGATCCCAACACAAAAGTGGACGAAGTCCAAAACCTGATCACGTTTTATGGTAAAAATGTATTTTTTTTATGCCTAATAAAGTTTGCACACATGTGACCCATTTTAGAACAGAATAGAATAAAAATTTATTGTCACTATTAAAAACAATGAAACGCAGTTTGGCAGCTCCAGCATGACAACAGCATCGTAATTAAAAATACACACTTTCAAGAATAAAAAAATAAATAGATAAAATAGAAGATAAAAAAAATAGAAATAAGTTAATAGAAATAAGAAAAGTGAGTGTCCCAATTCTCTTCCTTTAACCTTACCCCTTGGTTTCAAGTGCACTCATCAGATAGATTCCCCTCAATGACGAAGGGGTAGTGTTGAGAGGTAGGGAATTTTACCTACGAATTGGGACGCCACTTCATGCAAATTAGCGTAACAGACGTGTTCACCTACATCACACGTATCATCGACGTAGGCTTCTTGCACAGAGAACTGTGTAGATATCCATGTCGGCTTCATCGTGAATTAGCAATTTTCAAGCATTCATATTCTAACTGAACGCTTACAGATAACAATGCATATGCAGAAACATAACACATTCCGACATATTTTGGAATTTTTCCATGCTTTTTTTGTGAAAATAGTACTTAAATGTCCATGGTTTTCTCATGGTGGCTGCCATCTTCCTGGAAAACTCACCTGGCTGGATAGTTTCGCAATGCAACCTGGGAAATTCTATCTTCCCCTCAGTTGAGATGGGTTTGTAAGTGTGCATCACACAGCCCTTCAAATTAAATGGGGCTTTTAAGGGTTGAAAAGCACTTCCCTAAAGTTTGGGACACCCTAGCCCTTCGCAGGAATGCGCAAAAACAAGGGCTAGGGCCAGTTTTGAGGGGAAGTGTGAGTGTTGGGCAAACTCACCCACATGGGCAATTAGTGTAGGGCCTATATGGAACACATGGATAATCCAATATAGGGCCCATTTTTACCACCCACATGGACCCTACATGCAAATGTTGGCCAGGAAATGCTTGTTTGCTGACACTGGGACTTTATTATCGTCTCATTCGAGGACATTGGAAGGTTATTATTGTATTATTGCAGCATTTCACAGCGGCCAATCAGGTATGACAGACTGTTCTACTAGATAAAAAGGACGTTCCTACATTCCTGCTGTTCACCAGGCCAAATTCGTTTATAAACTTTACCACAATAATGTTTAAACTGTGGTGTATTGTCAAACAGCCTTTGAACCACACAAAAATTATCATTAGGTCAAAGACATTTCAAAATATGAATTAACAAGATAACTTTAATAACACATTTACTCTCTGATTAAAAACAATTCTAAAATTAATGACATTACTTATTCAAGCTTTAGGTTTCTTCCGTCCTACTCATGAAATTAATGTCACCACTGTCTTCCTCCATCTTTAAGAGTGAAGTCATCACCCATTTATGGTAATAGCGTACTCTCTAAGTGGGAAATACTCCGATAATGTCTCAGTTTCAGGGAACTTTACGTTCCTCATGACATGAAGCTGACACAGGCAGACTAGAGGAGGAATACTGTAATTTGTGGATCATTTTTTATATTATGATGGTGGAGTAGAAGTAGCAATAAATGGAAAATATATAGTAATTGTTACTTCCTGCCAGTGCAGATAAGCCCTGCAGTGTTGTTCTTATCTATGCTTGAATATTTCCTCTTAACTGTCACAATATCCCAGCAGATTCATCTCCATTCCCAGAGTAACTCGTGCTGTGTGAATGATTAATATGCACTTCTTCTCTTATTTTATAACCACCTGTAAGCGGGATTTAATTTTCTCTATCCTCCCCTTATCTACTTCACCTTTCTGCTGCATCTTCTCCTCAGCTTCTCCACATTATAATCATCTTGTTTCCTCTCCTCTTGATGTGATAATTCATATCAGGAGCGAAGTGGCGGAAACCGAGGCTCTGTGGGGTTTGATATTTGCAGCCAATCAACAGACAGCCTCTTGGAAAAATCCCTTAAATTTGTTTTTCCTCTGATTGTTTCCCTTCTGGAGCTGAGAGCTCATCAGACAGGCACACAACATTGTTCCTGTTGAAATTATTCACAAACCATGTTTCTAAAATGATGCAAGTCATCATGCTTAAAAACACAGTTTAAAAAGCAGCAAAGATGACTCAGTTTTGATACATAAACATAATCAAATCTAACCAATAGAATCAATATGAAGTGGAGACAGCACTGAAAACAGTAAACGCAATAAAAATACAGATGTTGATGTGTGTCCCTGACTCTTATTCTGTCAGACTGTGCCAGCAGTAACAGCAGCAGTGTTTTACAGAGAAACAGGATGTGATGTTCTGTGTTGTTTTACAGATGGGAGAAGTTTTCCTAGAGGGCTCTCTGACAGAAAGGTTAGGAATAAAAATTGTGCTTTGGCTAAATATAAATATCGATTTCTGTCAGAAAGGGTTGTCTGGGAGAAAGCAAAAACCTCCCCCATGTGCTTGTTCAACGGGAAATGGCAACAAGGAAGAGAAAGTTAATGAAGATGGAGGAGGAGGTCAAGAATGAGAAGGATATTTGCTTTGTTGTGTTTTCACAATAGTCTAGTCTATTATATTTTATTCACAAAATCCAAAGAGTCACAATAAAGTTGACATCACTGGTTTTGGGTAATTTAAAAATGTCATTCCTCAGATATTATTTTTATTAAGTAAAGTCAGTTATTTATGATTATATTTTTCTCTACTGTATTAACACCGTCTTTAGTATTATTATTATTATTATTATTATTAATTCTAATTCTATGTATATATAATTATTATTATTATTATTATAATTATATGTTGTTGCACTTTTTATTCTTTTATTTAAAAATATGCTCTAGAATTTAATGATTAATTAATATTTTTTTAGTTATTTATAATTAAAGTTCATTATTTATTTTAGCCTTCATTGTGATAGTATTATAATAATACACAAAACAATAACTGGTACACAAACTGCACAAAGTACTACCAAAAAAGACGAAGAAGAAGAAGAAGAAGAAGAAGAGGAGGACATAAAAAATATTTTTTTTAAAAAAAATAGGCCTACATAATACGCTATGTGAACATTTAAATAATAACAAACGAAAAAGAAAATTCATAACCTTGGTCTTTCTATAATCTTCCTCCATTTTTCAACAGGCATAGTTTAGACGCCTTGTTGTCCCCTAAAGGACCCCTCGTAATTCCAACATGGCGGCGTCCATACGGTTGTGCTGTGCCCTCCGCATCACCATCGGAGGTGAATTATTTCTCCTTTCTCTTCCTTCACAGCTTCATTTAAACAGCTCAGTGTGTATATAGGAGTTTATTTACCTTATGTATGTTTATAAGTGACTGTTTGGTTACAGTCAGCTGTGTTTACTGACCCGGGACGAGCCTGTATTTGCTGCAGGGCTGTCACAATGAGGCACCTCTAGAATATAACGTTAATGTCAGAGTAGTCAGAAGGATGTTTTACATGCAGTTAAGAATAAGATTTCAGTCTTTAAAGTAAGTTATACATCAGTGTTGATTAAAGTCGTTGTCATCCTTGAAGATAAAAGGAAATGATCCCCAGATAGTTTAGAAACGGTGCGTGTGTTTCCCTCACCAAAGTTCATTCGAAGTTTTGTCGATTTAAAGTAATCCTGCTTGTTAGTAAAAGTAAACGGCGTTGAAAAGGTAATAAAAGACTAGTTATGCTATAGTTGAGTTTGTGCTTTAATTCGGCACACTTCAAGCTACAATAGCACATTGTTTAAGAGAAATATCAACCTTTAACAAGCTTTACTTTTCTCACTGTCTCCCTCTTCTGTATTGTGTTAATGGGTAGAAAGATGTGGGAGCCAAGGGAGAAACCTGGGAGGCTGCTCATGCTGCTTATCTTTTATTCTTTTAAATGAAAAGTCAAATTCAGCATTGTGTGTGTTATAACAGTATGATCCTTTCATATATCGTTATATTTTTTAAATTGAAGTACCAGCACATTGGTCAAGCATGTTGTTTGCGGTTGTTACAGCACTTATAAGACAACAAATAAGACTAAGACATCAATAATATTACAATGATTTAAAAAAAATGCTAAGAGCCAAGAAAAATAGTGTGTACAGACGCAAAAACAGAACAAAAGGAAATAAAACAAAGTACAAATCAGGCATTAAAGGGGAAAGCTTTCATATTAAAACAGTTGTGATGAGTGTATTGATAGCTGTGTTTTTACTTGGTGTTATGCACATAATGCAGTTTTAATACATGCTCCTTTGGTTCTCTCTCTCTCTCTCTCTCTCTCTCTCTCTCTCTCTCTCTCTCTCTCCCTCTCTCCCTCTCCCTCTCTCTTTCAGGCACAGCACCGCTCCGTACATTAGGGGGTGTCGTTCAGGTATCCCAGTTGGCGAGCCGAGCCTCAGCTGTCTCTCTCCAAAGAAATCCTGTAGTCCCCCTGCTCCCTGTGACAGCGTGGCAGCAAACCAGGCACGGCAGCTTCTTCAACAAGTGTAAGTTTATGACGTTGTAGTTATAACATCATAATTGGTCAGTCATGGCCTAAACCCACTATCCTTTAACCATTTTTATTTTACACAGTCACTTGACACAGAAAAGCAGTTGGCAATGTATCCTTTATTGCAAAATTTGTATGTTGTTCCTCTAGTTATTTGGCCCAGTTTAGTTCACAGTGCATGAAAATTATTTTTCTGAAACCGGACTTTTAAATGCATGTAAACAGCTTAGTCCGACTGACATTGGACTATCCGTAGCTAGACTAATTGAAAATCGAACTATTGCTGCATGTTTCCACTTAGTCCGACTGGAGCCACACTCTGCATTCTGCGCATGCTCCACTTTTTCTTTCGTGGACTTTCATCCAGAAGATGAAGGAGAGTGCAGTAACTCCCGGAAAAACGAACAAACAAACACCATGTTGACCGGGAAACTACATTCATGCTCCGACAGATAAAGGAGCTAAACATTTTGAAGTTCGTCGGGTCAACCAGAACTAGTTCAATACGCACTATATTAAACAGGACACAGCACCACCTATCGAGGCAGAGTCAGACGTACTTGGTCAGAAATTCCGTTTTCTCTTCTGCATGTGTACTCAGACAAGACGAGAAGTCCGACTTGACTGATTAGCCAAACTATGAGCTTAGCTCGACTACTGCATGCATGTAAACGTACTGACTAACTGGATGGAGCTTATTTTGGTGGAACATTTGCACTTGTGGAGAAGAGCACTGTCAATGAAATGTCTCCGCAAAAGAAAACACCACAATAAACGGTAACAGACGTATGTCGACTGTGTGATTCAACTTTTAGGGATTAAAAAAACCTGCAAACATTATTTGATATTCAGTGCCCTCGAGGTGAAGCCTGACTATAGTTCAGAAAATGGATCAACATCAGGCATGAGAGTCCTGCTACATGGTGTGGGGCTTTTCTGAGCTGCGTTCACAAGTTGTTTAATTTGTTGTAGAGCTTTACAACAGTTCATTGAGAGAGCAAAGCAGGCGTGTCTTCTTTTTTTTTTTTTTAAGATATTTTTTGGGGCTTTTAGGCCTTTAATCGATAGGACAGACAAGCATGAAAGGGGGGAGAGAGAGAGAGGGAGTGACATGCAGCAAAGGGCCACAGGCTGGAGTCGAATGCAGACCACTGCGGCAACAGCCTTGTCCATGGGGCGCCTGCTCTACCACTAAGCCACCGACGCCCCAAAGCAGGCATGTCTTATTGCACGATCCAGATCTTCAAGACCTGCCATTTTCAGGATGTGTGGTTGTTAGCTTCGAGGTTGTTGCAGCTCCCTGTAGCAAAGGGGAATTTGAAAATGGTAACCTGCAGACAGCAGAAGGGTGGTGGAGAATGCCGGCCTGAATTGTGTGTGTGCGTGACAAGTTTTGCATACTTTCAACCTGAGACTGTTATTCATGGTTTTGGCTAGAAGCTTTAGTTTCACCGAAAGAAAATCTTAACCCTCTGAAACCTGGGCAAATTGGCTTGGTTTTTGGTTCAAAATGACAATGCCCACATGGACGAAGCCAGGTCTGTAATAAAATAGTTTTTCCAGTCTGGTTTGGAAAAACTTTTCCGGCCTGCACAGAGTCCTGACCTCATCAGACAGCTTTATAATGAACTAGACCACGACCATAAGTCAGACCTTATCACCCGATATCAGTGCCTGACCTCACGAAAGCTCTCGTGGCCGAATGGGAGCCAGGTTCCTAAATCTGGAGCAAAGTCTTCACAGAAGGAGCGGAGGCTGTTACAGCAGCGTATTCATTTCCATTGTTTTGAAATGAAACGTTCAACAGCCACATAAGGACGTGTTGTCAGGGTGTCCACATTCTGCTGGCCGTGTAGGTTTTGTTGGATGATTTTCTCATCAGCAGATGCAGGTGCATGTGAGCAGAGCTTGTTTGGACAACATGTCAGTTTGATGACAGTCTTTTAAATGGGCATTTATGGAGCTGTCATACATTCTGTCTCTCTCTCTCCCTTGTTTTCTCAGTCTGTCCCTAACTCCTCTGTTTTCTGTCTTGTTCATTTACAGTCACTGCCTCGCTGTTTCTCAGACAAGTTGATGCTTTGTGTCTGTCAACATGTCTCACTCACACACAAACACACACAAACACACATTTCAAACACCAACAACCTGTCACTTTTTAATTGACTCTGTATCTGAGCTCATATTTCACCACCAAGAGTCTTTAAATATTTACTCAATTTACTTTTATTGTGCAGTGTTTTTTTTACTGATGTGCGGCGTCTTAATCTGTGGATATACTGCAGGTGCTAAAGTGAGCCTGCAGTACTTTAGATCCACTTTAGGTGCCAGGCCTTTGCAAACACTGAGAGTTTATTGTATTTTAATTACAGTCCCAAGGCTATCCCATATGTCACCTGTTGGACATCTTTATTCCTGGCCTTTACAGCCCCCAGAGTCCATACATCCTCAGACCAGCTGGCTTTAATGGGACGCCTAAATTCAGCTGCATTATGCCTCAGGAATCACATTCATAGGAAGTTGGACTGTGGAGTGTTCTGGCTTAAAGAGTGGAGCTAAACTCACTCATGTGAAGGTGTAGCAGCTGAGAAACAGACATCCTGATGACATTAGTCTAGTCGAATTTTTGAGATTTGTAATGGGAATTTTAAAAAAAAATCCCTCTCTTTACAAGAATGTACAAAATGACAAATTTAGCAAATAAGCAGCTGCCACTCGTGTCATAGATCTCATTTAATTTAAGTCATTTAGGGCTACAACTAACGATTATTGTCGTTGTCGCTTAATCTGCTGATTATTTTCTCCTTAAATCAATGAATTGTTTGTTGAAAAGATAAAAATTGCCAATAACAATATGACAGAGAGCAAGGTGATGCCTTTAAAGGTCTTGTTTTGTCCAACCAGCGATCCAAAACCCAAAAATATTATGTCTGGTATAATGTACGACCAAGGAAAGCAGTGAGTGTTTTCTTGAAAAACAATTTACACAAAGTCAAAGTTGTAAAATGAAACATAAATGTATAAAATTGATCAACTGATTTATTTATTATTGCAGCTCTACAGTAATTAGGATTATGTGGCTGTGATTTATTGTAGTTAAAATTCAAAAAATGGCACATTTACTGTAAAACAAATGAACGTCTGTCTCAATTAGAAGTCTGTTTTTTTCAGATGTCTAAAACCAGGTTGTTGGCTACCTCATATTATGTGTCAATTCCTCGATTAACCTGTAATTTATTCGTATTCCTTTAGTCTGTAAGGGTCTTTAGATCAAAAGAATCAAAAGGGTTTGTTATAAAAATTAGTCCAAGTTATGAGTATTGTTTTAACAGGATAAAGTGGTGTTGTGTCAATATGCCAGGTGCCGTAATTATCTCTCTCTCTGATGCTCTGTCTGTCGGAGCTAGAGCAAAATAATGATTCATAATTGTTATATTATCTCAAGCCTGATTATTAAACAAGTAATATTCATAGTGGTTTAAATTTTTGTCTGTAAAATCTTTGCTGATTATCAGTGTTGTCTGAAAGGCTGTGGTTTCAGTGACTAAAGCAAATAATAGCTCAGGATATTAATTGAAGTTTTACGGTATTGTAAAAGGTAAAATCATGATACAGATAAACATTTCTGCTTTACTAAGTCTGGTTATGAATCCTGGACTGTGTGAAAAATAATGGACGAAGTTATTATGGCGCTATCTTGGATTTTTGGAGCAAGAAGAACATTTGAACGAGAGGGTGAAGCTGTGGAGGAGCGAGGGGTGGATCTGAGTGAGAGCCCGAGGACAATATCCCCAGATAACCTGTCGCTCAGAGCGGCCACACCCTTAATCATGTATTATTTAATGAAATGAAAGTGAGTGAGTAATGTAAAAATCCACCCTGCATATAGTTGTCATGAACAGGGAAATTAGGTATAGAGACCAAAACCGTTTTGGCTGTAAACATATCTGTTTCTGCTGTGAAGTTGAGCTGCTTAACATGGGGGACACACTCTTGGAGCCAAGTGGCCATTAGAGGAACTGCAGTCATCGGCACGTCTGTGTTGGACTCATTTTTTAGCTCCTGATGTTGCCGATTGTTGTGAATGTGCAGTTTGACTTTATAAATCATTCTTCTCTGTAGTTTTTCAGTTCTTTGATGCCCTTTGTTCGAGCTGAGAGCTAAGCTACAGCACTGCTTGCTGATGAAGTAATTGTATTGTGTGTTTACAGTGACGGCTGAGCAGTTGTGGAAAGGCGTGTTGGCGGAGTCTGGTGCAGGAGCCAGGAAGGGCCGAGGGAAGAGAACCAAACGCAAAGTGAAGCGAGACCTGTACAAAGGACAGATCATTGGCGAAGGTGAGACATTCATTTGTGGTGCATTTGTTTCTGTCTTTTCTGTTAAGTTGTGTGCTGCAGCACTGATGGACATGACACACTAGAATATTCATTAGTTAAAGTTAATAATTACACCGCTCTACTAGGGAGAGGAATTACCCTTCATTCACTCTGTCTGTCCTCTTTCTCCTGTTTTCACTTTTCTTTAAAGAGTCACTATCAGTCTTCATTCAGTCTGTGTCACAGTCGTGTCAGCCCGTCTCTCCTCTCCTCGGCTTTCACTTTAACTAAATATCTGCAGTTTATCTTTAAAGATCCCCACTCATCTGTCTTTTAAAGTGGAAAGCTTATAAAAAATGCCTTAAATGTATTTGTTAGATGTTTGCAAACCAAATATGGCGCTCAGTTCAAATTAATGCTGTGATGCTCTTTCAGTTCTACACATACAAGCAGACAGATGTGATATATATTTTTCTTTTCCTCTCTCTCGTTCTCTGTCCATGTCTTCATCCCACAGGTCGTGGTGGTTTTCTGTGGCCTGGTCTGAACTCTCCGGTGGCGAAGGACGGGAATTTGCTGAGTGTGAGACGAAGAGGCGAGAGCGAGCAGCAGGAGGTGCAAGCCGAACTAGGTACAGAGACAGAATGCACTGAAGACATAACAGCACACTTCTGAACATACATGATAAATGCCAATATCAGTGCACTTACTGCTACAGAAACACAACAGACCTGTTTGAATTTAGAAACACGTTCGCTTATTAGAAACTGCGACGAGTTTATATCACTGATGCCATGAATTGTCCGTTTTCTGATGGTGAAACATGAAGAGACTGTTGATTTTTTCAGAGCTACAGAACAAAAGTCTGAGTTTCTAGTAATGGTAGATGTTTAAAAGACCGACAGCACAATGGAAAAATGACCTGCAACGTTATTGTTCTCTTTAGCAAAGCAAAAAAGCGATTATTTTACTGTAAAACAGTCTTTTCAAGAGCTACACTGAGGCAACGATATGTGAAATTAGGTCTTTAAGGAGCCCCGTGGAGTTTTCCTGTAAACAGAAGTTATGCTTTGATTCAGTGTCACTCATCAAAACTCAGTGTGTTTTTGTTAGGGGTACAAAAAATGTGCTGTGTGTGTATTTTCCTACTCATAAAATGTTTGTAAAGTTGATCCTCAGTTATTTAAATGTAGCATTGTTTATATATCTATTTACAGGGCTTGATGCTAGAATGGATGGTCCTGAGAGACGGGAGGGACGCATTATTATAGATCCCACTGTGTGGACTAGAGATGATGTTCGTAAAATCATAGCATGCATGAATTCCCACAAAAAAAAAGTCCACAGCTCCACATCCAGGGGTATGTGGACACTGAAGGAAAGCCGACAAAGGGCCCTCGGCCGTGGGCATCAACCCCACCGACTCCCTGCTCTCCCTCTGGTTCTCTTGCGGAGGAGCAGAGTACAGCCTGTGTCAGCGGGGCTTTCCCGATGCTGTTTTGGGGCTGTGGGATAGAGCCAGGCAGCTGAGAGTCAAACCAGGGCCCAAGGAACATGCTGGAGAACCAGAGGGAAGGTGGGAGGTCTGCCGGGTCCATGCCCAAGGCTAAATGCCTGCTGTCAGCTCTCCTTCAGTGTCCTCACACCCCTGGATGTGGAGCTTCCAATAGGCTCTTCTTACCTGTTGCCTCTTGGGATGGCTGTTGCTCAGAGGTAGAGCAGGTAGTCCACTAATTGGAAGATTGGAGCTTCGATCCCTGGCTCCTCCAGTCCACATGTGGAAGTATCCTTGGGCAAGATATTGAACCCCAAATTGCTCCCTATGGCTGTTCCATCTGTGCGTGAGAGTGTGTGAATGGTTACTGAGTAGCAGGCAGCACCATGTATGGTAGCCTCGGCCACCAGTGTGTGAATGGATGAATGTGACGTAGTGTAAAAAGCGCTTTGAGTGGTCAGACGACTATAAAGGCGCTATACAAGTGCACTTTATTTTTCCATTACTCTCCTGCCCTGGTAAAGCCTCCAGATTTTTTACCAACTAAACATATATGAGTCATGTAAGAGTTTATAAACCATAAAGTTTTGTGTTAACTACCCGCATGGACAACTGATGACATAACGACCAATCACAGCACAGCAAAACTGAGCGTCCCTCTCCCACCCCTCCCAAATATCCATTCTAGCATCATTTACCAGCTTGCGGTCTTCTACTTTCCCTTTACTGGCACATTGCAGCATATCTCTGCTGTAACCGCCACCTGTTGATCAGTGGCAAAGTGTGAAACATTGGTGTCAGTGTCACTCACGTGCACACGCATGTGTGTCCTCAAGATAAACAAAACAGCTCCATAACTCTTGGCGAGGTGGGAAACTCCGCGGGGAACCTTTAATTTTGAGAACCAGAAGCACCGACAGCACCATCGGTGTGAGACAGACGCTGCCAAATTGTCTCCACTGTGATCTCATTTGTTAAAAGTAATTACACAGTTGACTTGACAATGACAGATCGCACCTTTGATGTTTGTCATGTGGTGCTCTTTGAAATGGCCCCTGTGTGCTCTCATGGCGTCAGTGCTAAACATGTTGGTTGTGTCTTTGTGCAGTGCATCAGAGGGATGAGTGGGATAGGAAGAGGAAGATGAAGGTGAAGAGGGAAAGAGGATGGACGGGAAACTCCTGGGGGGGCCTCAGCCTGGGCCCCCCTGACCCTGGACCCAACGGAGGTAAAGTAACACTCACACAGTGTAGAAACGTAAGTATTGTGTGTGTATATGTGTGTGTGTTTGCAACACTTCAGTCAGATTCATATGTCTCAGTCCAGTCGTAGATGACTGTAGTGAGTGTGAGAGAGAGAGAGAGGCAGTGACAGGCCAGTACGGTGGCTCATTAGGACTGATGAAGATGAGAATGTGACCAAAGTGTTAAGTGGGACAATTTCCTAATTTAGAAAGACATCTCTCTCTTGCTGCGTGGAAGTCTCTTTCTTTTCACTGTCGCACTTTCTCTCTTTCTCCCCCAGAACTCTCCTTCTCTCTCTTTTCTACTATCTCGGTTTTTTTTAAATTCCCCCTCCTCGACTCTCTGCCCCCTTTTTCTCCTCTTTGTCTGTCCCTTTCTATCTCTTTTGTCATTGTGTCTGTTCCCTTTCAGTGTTACCCTGAGTCTTTCTCTCCTTCTGCCCCTCAACCTATTTTTTCTCTCCTCCATCACGTCCTCTATTTATCCCTGTCCTCCCACATACTTGTGTCTTTTTCTCTTCTCAGTTCTTGGACAGGAAACCTAATTGACCGTACTGTTTCTCTGCCATATTTAAGATGTTATATGTTAGAATCCAATTATTGGATGGGTTGCATTTTATAGACATCTGACTTTTGATCTAGTGTCACCATGAATTAAAATGCCCTTTTATGCAATACATTGGATACAAACTTATCTTATAAACTTATTAGCTAATTAGCTAACATTAGAATGCTAACACGTTAAAACAACAGGTTGAACTTGGTAAACACTAGACCTGCTGAACATGGACATGCCAGTGTGTAGCCTTACAGAGCTGTTAGCATGACTGTAGACTCTTGGTCGTCTTTTTTTAACTTCACTGCAGAACAGCAAGTCATGTGAGTTTGGCTAATGAGTTTGCAGATACATATGTGGTTGGCATTCACTTCAATCTTTATTTTCTTTTTAAATACTGTATTTTATGGATGGGATTCACCAGAGGACCCACGATACGATATTATCACAAACTTAGGTCGTGATATGATATTATTTGCTGTATTGCGGTACAATATATTGTGATATATCACCTTTTTTTCCAAACTGCAAATAATTGTAATTGTAAATAATTGTAATTGTAAATGTAAGATAAAGTTTTCACTCTGTTCATCTGACTTTAATCATTTTTATTGCAGCAAAACATGATGCAAAGTAGACAGGCTGACCAACACCGTCATAAAACCTGTCAGAAATGCTGCAGACACCTGACAAACTGAACTGCTGGCAGATTTAACAGCCTCTCTGAGGCCAGATTAAACACGAGTGAAACACTTCACATGCTAGTGTCCCACTAACTGAATGGCAAGCGTTGTCTGTTGCAACGGCAATCCCCCATTCTTGTGCTGCATTTTACAGGAGGTCTGCAATCTTTGCTCCGGTGTGACTCTCGTGTACTGCTCAAGTTTGGAGAAGAGAAGTGAAGCTCTCTCAGTTAGTTTAGTTAAAGAAAAAGTCTCAAAATGTCGAGAAAGGAAATGCTCTTACACCTATATTAGTATTTAAACAGAAAATCACAACTGTACGCCTTCTAAGTTCACATTTTTCTCTTTTGCCAATTTAAGATTAGCTTGATTACCTTGTTATCTCATCGTAAAATTCACTTCATTCAGACTTGGCAGAAACAAAACTCACCAAAAACATCTTGGTTTGTCTTTCTACTGTTTCAACAATCAAAATAAATACCTTAATTCACCAAATAAGATGCGAGAATATGCTGGTTCAGCACCTAGTCTCTCTCTGCAGTCCCTTAAAGAGGACCTATTATACTCATTTTCGGGCCTTTGTATTTGACTCCTATAGAGCAGCTACACACGATTACCTGCACACATAGCTTTTTAGATCTTCAGGATGCTTTGCTTCTCGCTGCACTGCTTCCTTGTATTTCCTGCATCCCGCGAAAACGGTCTGTGTAATTTACTTCACCCCCCGGCCCTCACCTCCCGCCGAGCCCACTCCGCTGTGATTGGTCACACTCCCGAGGACTTCCGAAGGGCTGCCGAGCGCTGCCGGCATGCCTGGGCATGTCCATATAAGTAAGTCTGGCACGCATTAACGTCACACGGACTACACTGTTTAAAAAAAAAGACTGTAAAACACAGCGTGCAGAGCCATCCAAAACAGCTTGCAGCCTCACTTCCAAATGCACGAACCTCATTATTTGACATGTTGGCATCGTTTAACACGAGTATGCAACATTGTAACAACATGTATAGGTCAGAAAAGAGGAAAAGCATAATAGTTCTCCTTTAACGTTATCCCCACCACCCACAGTCGCCATCTTCCTCAGCTCAGCTTCCTCTTCCACCAGTAGACTGACCTCTAGTGGCGCATGATGTACACTACAGTACATTGCTTTAATACTGCTTCTCCGTATCAGTTAAATAACAAGAGCAGCATCTGTATTTTTGACAGTATTGAGGGTCATACCTTCAGGATTTCAAAATACTGTGGTACACTGTAATCCTGTGACACCACCTCAGTCAACCTGTGAGTTCGTCTGAGTGTGATTTAGTAAGAACAAACAGTCAACCTTTTTCACTGTGACTCGTGATGGCAGGAAAATCCATATAGCCCTCGGCTGTTATGTGGTAGAAATAATATAGTATTGAAAAGAAGCGTATCGACACTGCAGAGATCCATCCCCATCTTTTCAGCCCTGCCTCCTCTAACAGGAGGGCTTATATCAGAGACTTTGAAGGTTGAATGTTAAACAGTATTGTAAAGTCTCTGCAGCCCATAAAGGTGTGTAATCAACTCTTCATTACAAACCCTGAGGAACACCTGGTTAATTCCACCTGATTTACCGACAGAGCCGTCGGCCTCCTGTTCCCAGCCTTATTACTCGTTTAAATCTTGGTCATTGCTGTCGGAATTGAGTTAAGCCCATTTACGGCAAACTGCTGACAGTGGAGGGATGAGGCTCTGTAGTCACAAAGCACATTTTCTTGTTCCATCTTTGTGAATTGAGTCTCTTATTCGCTTATCGTTTCCTTTGCATCCTCCTCAGCTTTCTCCTTCTCTCATTTCCTCTTGATATTTCCTCTATTGTCAGTGTGCTAACAAGCTCTCACACCATGAAACACACTCGCTTTCTCTTGTTTCAACCATGTACAAACACTGTCTTTTACTCGCACACTGTCTGTCGCTCTCACTCACACAGAGGTGCACACAGGGACTAGTGAATGTGATGTGCAGAGAGCTGTAACTAGGTTGCCTGCCTCTGATCAGGTTTGGTTTCTTACAGATGGTGGGCTAATGTCCCAGCTGAGGTGTGTGTGTTTCTGTGTGTGTGTGTGTTTTCTCCTTGGAGCCTTTGAGTCAGCTCTCCTTTGTTTGTTGTTAATTGGTTAGAATTGAACAGGCTGCTGTTGGGAGAGTAACATCCTTCAGAGGTCACTGACAATGAGAAGTGTCAACTTGTCGCGGTGCTGCAAGGGCTTCTGGGTATTTGTTACGCCAGCAGGAGCCTGGTTTAATCTGTTTAGAGTGTCTGTGTGCCTGTGCCAAAATGTGTTTGTGTGTAAAAGCTTTTTTATAGCAACTCCTCTTTTCTTTTCCCTCTCTCCACAGAAACCTATCAGGACTTTGATTCTCGTGTCATTGAGGTGAGTGTCTTACCAGTCGATGTTGGGCTTTCCCTCAAATTCATTTATTTGTGGTGATCTGCCACAATATCAGCATTTACCGCCACATATAGATTTTCTATTTTTGGAGCTGTGTCTCTGTCTCTTCTCTGTCGTGGCAGAGTGTATTCTGGGCACAGACAGAGCAGCAGAGAGCCAAACACAGTGAAAGTGAAACATCTGTTCGTTAATTCATGCAGAACTAGAGTGCTCTATTTCTTGAAACAACAGCTTCTTGTTTTAGTGTTGACCAGTGTTCTCCCAGCCTACTTTAGATGAAGCTGGCTGCCTTCACATGGAAACCGCATACCTGTGGTCCAGCATTAGGTCAAACCATAGACTGTATAAGAAATAATGTATGTAGTTACTGTGACGTCACCTAGGGATTTGTGGACCTCCATTTTCAAACATTGAGTTCAGCATTTCAGCTGTCACCATTTTGCTTTTTCCCGGACGAGCCCCCAATTCGGCATGACCCAGCTCAAAGGCCATGACAAAAATGGGAGACACACACGATATCAGCTAAAAAGTTATTATTAACAGAAGATAATCTGTGTGTCAGTGTGTTGGCAGGTGAATGGATGAGTGAGTGATGTGTGCAAGGTGTTGTAGGTTGAAGAATACAAACTGATAACCAGGCCGAAGCCAACTAAACAAAAACATGGTGTCGGATGAGGGGAAGAGAGCGAACTGATTGCACAGCCAGGCTTAAGTAAGCTGCCACTGCGAGACTGGCCAGGTGCTCCCAGTTGCCACGCACTCAGCTCTGCCCATCAGGACTTGCAAGACACAGTAGACAGACAGACAGGGGAAAACACACACAAGGCAGACTTTGCTGAAGCAGGAGGGGTGGGGGGTGGATCTCACTCATAGACTGTAGCGAAGCCTGTCACTGCCCTTAATTATGCTTTAAGCCTCAGTAATATGTAAACAGATGAGTTATAAAAAAAATCTTAACTTGTGTAGTTGACATGAATGTTAAAATTAGCTAAATAGACCAAAAAAAAACATTTTTACCAAGCTGTAAACATGTTTATGTCTGCTGTAAAGTTGGACAGTTTAACATGGGGGTCTACGGGGATTGACTCACTCCTGTAGCCAGCCTCATGTGGCCATTATAGGAACTGCAGTTTTTAGCACTTACATATGTCTTGGCCTCATTTTTCAGCCCCAAGGTTGCCGCTTGAGTCTAACCTGTATAATGGCAGTAACAGATTTTCTTCTGGTTTCTTGATTTCCACCCAGTGACTCAAACTTAAGACACTGCTGCTGAAGAAAAAAAATTAAAACTCATAAATAGTTCCTCCTGTGCTGCTTTCATAGACCCACAAAACAAGGGACACTTACAAAAAGAAAACCAAACAAATAAAAAGTTTGCCAATCTGGCGCACCCAACCTCCAGTAATGTTAATTCAGTTTTAGTTGAGAGAAGTCATTTTATGACGGTTTGAATAAAATCTTTTCACTTTATTGTGACAGAAGACAAATTATTTTTAGACCTGCAATCACTGACTTATTGAAGCAGCAGAAACAAGTTGTGAACACAGCACTGACACATCATCACCAGCAGCTACACAATAATCTGGGAGGGAGTGGATGGATGACTGGTTCTTGTCAGATAACCTCTTTGCAGACCAGCACTGGCTCTCGGCCTGGTCATCGGGAATCAGTGCTCTAAATAGATGAGACTGTACAGAATAATGATGCAGAAGGGAGGGGAGAAACTGTTTTCAGGAAACTAAAAATGGTGGAAAATCCAGTGTGGTGTGTGCACATGGGTGGTCTTGGAGGCACATTTGCTGAGCAAGCATCGCTGCAGTTGAGCACTAAACTTCATGTCATTTTGCGGCTGCTGTGTGGGGAGATAAGATGGTTAATGAAATGTTCGGTTTAGTGCTTCCTGAGGTCAAATAATGTAATTTCTGAAAAGTCACATTTGCATCTGTTTTATATGAAGTAGATAAAAATCATCTTTAAAGCAGTGGAGTTCACTCAAGAGGTAGACGGCTTTTTAAACAGGAATATACGGCACCTAATTGCTCTTCATAAAATATTTCCACAGCACGCAGCTCCTCCAGACCTCATTAGACCCAGAGAGAAATCTGCATGTTTAATAAGTTATACACTTATGGATGCTTCATTTTGGAAAAAAATCTCATTTTGAATGCAGAGGACTTATTAGATTTCACTAAAATACAGAGGAGCTGTGCTGAAAACATGTTATCACGTAGCTTAACAAAAATTAAATCTACAAACTAAAACACTGCGGCCGAGTAATGAACCAGATCCGGTCTTGAGCCCACATCCGAAACACACTCGAGCCCTCGTGCCACTGAAACAGATTAAATCCTGAGTTGCTGTGAGATAAGATCGGCTGTATGGACAGACCCAGTTCATTTAGATTCTCCATCCGTCCTGCTGTATTTTACCTTAATTCAATTAGCACTAATGGACTGCCCGTACTAAACTAATGGGGTAATGCCACAAGGTCACACACACATACACACACACACACACACACACACACACACACACACACACACACGCTCATGCTCACACACAAAGCAGCTCTAAGCTGCTTTGTGATTGTGCTTGTTTTCACATGTGTGTGTTTCATGTGGTTATGTACTTTAACTCTTTTTATTTGCATCTGTTTTACTCCATACACACAGTAGCAGATTATGCATGTGTCTGTGTGGTTGTGTGTGCGTCACATTGATAGTCTTCCCCAGCCCTCCTGCCTGCCTGCATAAATAAGAGTGGTGTCACAGACATTAGGCTTCCCCCTTGAAACTGACTGAAGCTTTAATGGTGCCATCTCCCTTTATAAGTGTACCCTGTGTGTGTGTGTGTGTGTGTGTGTGTGTGTGTGGGTGTGTGTGGGTGTGTGTGTGTGTGTGTGGGTGTGTGTCTGGTTGTGTGTGCGCCACTATAAATTCCAGCCTAATGAAATGAAAAGGGCTTACTGGAATAAAAGGCTTGTCTCCCAAGGACGATGACGGCGGCATGCCATTAGTGAACACATCCAACAAGAGGAGAGGAGGAGGAGGAGGGAGGGGAGGAAGAGTGGACGAGAAAGTGAGCGAGGTGGAGGAAAAGTTGTGAGAGGGAGTTAAGAAGTCAGAAGGTGAGACAGAGAAGCAGCAGAGCAGGACTGATTGATTTGTGTCATTAACAATAACAGTGAGTCATTAACTGCGAGGAAGATTAATCAGTCATTAAACCTGCTCTAATACATAATCCAGATTTAATGGTATTCATTAATTCATATAAACAAAAATTTAAACATTCTCAGAACGTATGGAGTGATGTATACTGCTCAGAAAGGTGATACAGTATTTTTAACGTACCTCGCTTTGAGTCAGTTTCCCACAAACATGTTGAGGTCTGATAACCAGCCTTACAATACACGCTCTGAAATTAATCATATTCACTGTATCAACAAATGTTTACCTCTAAAATCTAGGGTACCCAAAAAGATTATTGCATATTCTGTGAAATATTTCCAGTGCAGGACTGTGTGTGTCCATTAGGTGTGATAATTGTGGAGAGAATTATATTTTCATCACAAGAACTTATGTAGAAATTAAAGCTTTGATTCTCTGCCTGAATTTAATTGGGGCCAGGGTGAGCTGTAATGTCTCAAAATTCCCTGAGGCTTGAAGTAGGCCTGTCAGCTCAGCGCCGTAGGGGATTATGTTTCCATGAAAACCGGGCTACCCCTAAGGTGTGTCCTTTTCTGATGACGCACTGGCCGTGGGTCATCCATCCGTTTTCATCTGCTTATCCGGGGCCGGGTCGCGGGGGCAGCAGGCCAAGCAAAGCACTCCAGACGTCCCTCTCCCCAGCAACACTTTCCAGCTCCTCTTGGGGGCACCCAAGGTGTTCCAGGCCAGACGAGATATGTAATCCCTCCAGCGTGTTCTGGGTCTGCCCCGGGGCCTCCTACCAGTAGGACGTGGTCGGAACACCTTTTGGGAGGCACCCAGGAGGCATCCTAGTCAGATGCCCAAACCACCTCAACTGACCCCTTTTGACGTGAAGGAGCAGCGGCTCTAATCTGAGCTCCCTCCAGATGTCTGAGCTCCTTACCCTATCTCTAAGGCTGAGCCCAGACACCTCACGGAAGAAACTCATTCCCACCGCTTGTATCTGTGATCTCATTCTTTTGGTCACTCCCCAGAGTTCGTGACCATAGATGAGGGTTGGGACGTAGATGGACGGGATCTGGATGGGTTGGCGGACTGGCCGTGGGTCTTGTGACGTGTAAAAGGAGCGCCTTCTGCAGCACTGTTTACTATTGTATTGTGTGACGGCTGCCAGTAGCATCAACATGACGGATTTTCAAGCTGTTTTTGCATGGAATCTATCGCTTGTTGCTCAGTTGGCAGTGTTTGTCTCTGCTTCCCCAGTGATGTGCGTAACATGCAGTGGAGAGCGGTGATCATCATCTGCGTGCCACATCTCCGTGGACTGCCATGTGCACTCGAAAACAGACACACCTGCCAGAATTGTAGTACACAGGACGTAAGGAGCTGATGACAGACTCTTGAAATATAAGTAAGAGAAGGAGGAGAAGTGGTTTAAGGAATTTTGTTTTTTAAAAAAGTTAAAATTCAAGTTTTTAATCAGGCTCCGGCCCAAGACTGTTGCCTGGGTTCGGGCTCAGGTTGGACAGTAACTATGCAGGTTCATATAGGGTCACCCCTGATCAGAGCTGTAATGTAAATCCAAATAACTTTGATCAAAATATTCAGTTCAACTCAATTCAGTTTTATTTATACAGCCTAGTATGGTGGCAGATAATCTTTATGTATTGTGGGGAATATAAAGCGTGATGCTGCTCTTGTGTCGACAATAAATCCAGCTTTGCTCTGGCCAGAAATACTAACATGTTTGACACAGTAGCTTTGTAGCAGTCACAGGTTTAGGTAGAGGTGTGTGAGGACATGCAAGAGCAGAATACAGATAAACATTGAATG